GTGGGACGCGCGGGTTGAGACGATCAACGCATAGTGATCTTTGGGTTGCGCGAGTGTTGGGGACATCGCGGAGTGCCCGAGGAACCGATCGAGCAGATCTGAGGGACGGTGGCGGAGTCGATGCAGCCGAGTGATTTCACCATCGCTGAGATGAAGGAGGCTCTTCGCGAGAAAGGACTGACCTTGGGAGGGTCGAAAGCCGAGCTCATCCAGCGCCTGAATGCCAACGATTCAGGCGTATGGGCGAGATTGAGCGAGCAACGGAGGCAGGAGAGATATTCGGATGGCATCCCGGCTTCAGGAGGTGTGCGTTCACCCAGTGAACAGGGTGACGCCATGGAGATGGAGACCGTGGACGATACGCCGAGACGAGGGGACCGAGTGAGGATGACGACGCCGGAACGGAGAGAGCATGACGACGCGACGCAGGCAGAACTTTTATTACTGCGTCGAGAGCGAGAAATTTTGGAGAGAGAGCGACAGTTGCTCCAAAGAGAAATAGAGATGATGAGGAGTGCAGCCTCGACACCGACGACAACGAACGGCAGCGTCATTTCTGCGTTCGGCGGCGTGAGAGGAATCAAGGAGCTGTTGCCCGAATTTGACGCATCTGATGGCACTTTCTGGAGATGGAAGCAGCAGTTGGAGCTGCTGAGACGCACGTACCAGTTGGACGAGAATTCAGCGAGAGTATTAATTAGCTCTCGGTTGAAAGGTCGTGCGTTGACGTGGTTCTACTCCAAGGCCGAGTATGTGACGCTGGACCTGGAGGACCTTCTGCGGGAGATGGAGTCGATGTTCGACCTACGGCCAGGAAAGTTGTCACTGAGGAGGGAATTCGAGGCTCGTGTGTGGAAAGGAGACGAGCAATTCTGCGATTATTACCACGAAAAGGTGATTCTCGCAAATCGCGTACCAATCGCGGAAGACGAGCTCCTCGATTATATTATCGAAGGAGTGACAGATCCTCGTCTGCAGAGCCAGGCGCGCCTGATAAACTTCCAATCCGGAAGAGAATTATTGAAGGCGTTCGAGAAGGTGGTCCGAGGGAATCCAAAGAGACCAGACGTCCGGCCAGGGAGAGACGGAGTGAGGACAACCAGCGGAGTCAGAGCAGAGGCGGCGGCGCGGGGAGACCCGACGAGGTGTTATAAGTGTCGTGAGACAGGCCATACCGCGGCCCAGTGTGTGCGACCGCAAGCGAAGCGAGCGTGTTACGTGTGCGAATCTCCGAATCATTTCGCCAGAGAATGTCCAAAGCGAAATCGGTCCGCGGCGTCGGAAACGCCGAACAGCGTTGCGCAAACTACGTCGATGAACGTCGTGCAACCGGTTGCATTACTAAAACCATACATGATTACGGTGAAAATCAGGGCTAAAAATGAAAATAACGGGTTTGATAATTATGTGGTAGACGCGTTGATAGATTCGGGTTCTCCGATTAGTTTGGTGAAAAGCGAAGTAATTCGGGGCGACTCACGTCTGCTCGCCGGTGAGAGCATCGATCAGTTTTGCGGAATTAACGGCTCGCAGTTAAATATCGACGGCATCGTTCACGCCGACTTAGAGGTGAGAGGCGTGCGTTTGAAAATGAAGTTTTACACGGTGCCTCATAATACGATGGCGTATAGTGTGCTACTCGGTAGAGATTTCTTGAATTGTCCGTCGCTGCGTGTTACTTTAGGGCAAGATCTCGAAATTGCAAGCACGGAAGAAGCGCGCGTCATTTGCCAAATGATGCATATTGAATGCGGCGATAGTGTTGTACATCCGAGCGAAGAGTTGAAAATTAATCCGGCGGTTGACAAGGATGCAGCCGAAAAGATCCGCGAGATCTATGAATCTCATTATCTAAATAATTTTCGAACGGAGAAATGCGCGCCGGACTTCGAGATGATTATCGCACCGAAACATGAACAACCGATAAGTATGCGCCCGCGGAGATTATCGGTCGCGGACAAGGAAATCTCACGCGAGATTGCGACGAGAGACACCGACGAGAATATAGAGCCTGTTTTGAATTGTCCGGTACCGCGTAACATCAGGGACGTACATAGATTCGTTGGATTCGCGAATTGTTTTCGTCAATTTATTCCGAGATTTTCATTGGTGGCAAAACCATTGTACGATTTGATTAGAAAAAACTCTGTCTTTAAGTTTAGCCGTCACCTGTTTGTTGTCATTGACGCGTTCGCTAAATTTATCCGGCTCTACCCGCGTAAGTCGACAGCATCGGAGGAATCGATAAAGTATCTCTGTGAATATTTCCGCGCGTATAGTAAACCGAAACGTTTAATTTCGGACAGAGGAACTTGTTTCACATCTGACGTATTTAAGAGATACTTGGAATCCGGTGCCATAGAGCACGTATCAATCGCTGTGAGCACGCCGAGAGCAAACGGACAGGTGGAAAGATTTAATAAAACGATAACTGGTATATTTGCGCCCGATCAAATGCGCCCGTATATACGTGCATGACGATGCATTCTCTTGTAAAGGAACTTTGTTCAAATTATATTTTATTTTGTTCTATTTTATCGTTTGAACGAGACGGCCAAAATGTCAGAATGGCCGAACTGTAAGCGTGCGATTATTATTATTTTCAGGATGTATTGTACGTGTCGCGTTGTCACGTTATTGTCGAGTGCGTCTTGTCGTTTTGTCCTCGGGTTTGATTATTTGTATTTATTATACTGTGTGCGACAGTGAGAGAAAGCGATCGGCTTAGAAAATAACAGACGCGACCGTTCGAATAACAAAATCCGAGTAAAGTTTAGCTGTCGCTTAGCGATTGGCCCGAGCCTGACGGGAAGGGACAAAATTAGGAGCGGTATAAGTACCGGCGATTTTGAGTAACGAGATCATTGTTGAGAACATCATCTTCGGAGCGTTTTATCGAGACACAAGCACGCATTCTCTCACGAACCGGCAGAAGATCTTTAATATCGAGGCGACAGGAAGGAAGATAGAATAGAAACGGGACTTGGACAGCGAAGACGTTTTCGACTCGCAATAAACATATATATATCTTCCGAACCTGACTTCTTTTCCTGATTCAACTAAATTCATCCGGCCTTCTCCTGCATTCCTACATTTTAATAATCAATAATTAATTGATATATTCGATATTAGATAAAAGATACGCCTACATATTATACTTTTACACTTAAAACACATATATTTTAATTATTTTGATGTTTCGATAAGCAATATAATGCGCATGTGTATCATTTTTATTTTTCTGTTTGCGCAATTAGGTACAATTTATTGCAATGATAATATACGGTCTGCAAATTTTTAATCCAGTTTGTCAAGTGCAAGACAAGTTTCATTCAGTTGTAGCTGTTTTTTTATGGGAAATATATTAATATTTCTTTATTTATTTTATGATTTTTATAAAAAAAGTTATACTACTAAAGGTAAAAAAAGAATAATTAAGCTTAACATCAAACAATTAATTCATATTGAATACATTTGACGGTTTTTATTACTCTCTTTTAAAAAAGATAAGTTTTTATGAATATATAGCAAATAAATAGTAACAAATAAATAACACAACATATGTTATGCTCAATTTATATATAATATATTTTGTTAACATATATTTGTAATGAAATACATATGACTGCATGTATATGTAAGTTGTTGGAAAAATTAAAAATAACTAAATAATTTACTTAAGCAACTAAGTAATTTAATAATTAATTTATTAGTAGTAACTTAAATAACTTATTAGTATACTAATTTATAAAAAATTTTTAATTTTTCCAACAACTTTCATATACATGCAGTCATATGTATTTCATTACAAATATATGTTAACAAAATATATTATATATAAATTGAGCATAACATATGTTGTGTTATTTATTTGTTACTATTTATTTGCTATATATTCATAAAAACTTATCTTTTTTAAAAGAGAGTAATAAAAACCGTCAAATGTATTCAATATCCGAAAGTGTTATATAAAAAACTGTTATTTCTAAATTAATGTAAAAAATTGTTTATAAAATGTCAGTTGAAAACTCTACAAAATAATTATAATATCAAAATATTGCGTCATAAAAATAAAAATTTATTTTGAAAAAGATTTTATTACATTTCATTATTTTAAATTGTTATAGCCCAAAAGGCTATAATTACATATACAGCGGATATAAAATATAGAATTACTACATTTTCCGCGATAAGACCGCTGATACAGCAGCGGGCCGGAAACCGCGGCGACGCGAGCTAAGAGCTTCGTCTTTCGAGCAGCTTTGCGCTCAAAATCTAACCGCGTATGTAAAAACTGTTCGCCAACTAGGTGCCTGTCGCCACGCACTCCTTCCAAACGAAATAACGAAAAACCGTCGCATCGCGAATAAATTGAGAGTCGCGTTAAGCAAGTAAAAAAGAAAAACGGAGTCACACGAGGTCTAGAAATAATCATACTCAGAGTCTTGATTGAGTTTATATATCAATATATTGAATAAAGAAGTGAACTTAAAATCTATCAAGACTACAAATTATTGGGAAAACTCCGACAATTCGGAAGTCCTCTTCCTAATCCGGCCTACATCCCTAAGTGCTTTACCTGAGGTACAACAAATTGGTGGCAACGGTAGTATGCCGGAGATCGCCGACGTTTCCTTATAGAAAAAAGTCTTGTAAAAACACAAAAAATATTTATAAAAGGTGTTAGACGAGCACGTCAATAGTCAATAACGCTGACGGAAGCAAGCAGAAGCCACGGCAATAACGAGAGAAAGAGAAAACGGACAACACAAGCAGTGCAACGAGTAGCTGAGGATCAAAAAGGATCACAACGCTAAACTACGACAACCTCACGGGCAGCGCATCATCACGAGCGACAACTCGCCGTATCTATCACCAACATGGAGCAGCTGTTATCAGCTCACAAGTGATCGAGTTGCAGCAGCAGCAGCAGCCGACCCGTATATAGCGTAACGATGTGAGCAGTAATACTGTAAGTTCGAATTTTATTATTTGCGTGAATGTCAGAGGAACACGAAACTCCCCAGCAATCGATAGCAAATAAATTGTGGCTGTTTAGCAACTTAGCCGAGCGGGCAATAAAGGCATTGCCACTGTCCTTAGAAACCCTCGAAAAGGTACGAATAAAATTAGAAGCACTTTATTCAAGCGAGAGCGACTCAGAATTATCTACTCACGTGATAACTAAACGAGCGAGTTCCCGTTTGATACTTTTAACGAAAGTCTGTTTGCGGAAAAAGAAACCAATGCCAATATCGAAAATAAAAATAAAATTAAAGTACGCGTGAGCCGAGCTCCCAGTAACATATTGCAACGCAGAGAGTTTTTATTAACATCATACGACAACAGCATTTTCAATTCAAACGAATGTCAGACTAACATGTTGCAGATACCCGCCGAACGTTGCCATGAATGTGTCCAAGGATGCCATCGACCGCGAAATTAACCGCCTTTACTATACCATAATCCGCGACAATAATTGATTCGTGGAAGTTGATGCACATAGACCACTCGCTAATCGCGATATAGAGACCGACCATCCCTGTGATATTAGACGATACACAGAGAAACGCGTTGTAGAAGCCGAGGTGCACAAAACGCCTAATCATAGGAGGTGCGTTTCGTTTCGCGCATGGAAGGCATGAATGCCCTACGCAGAGCATGAAATGCAGAATTTGTTCCGTTTCTTCATGCATTTCATGCATCTTCTAGTAACGGAACAGATTTCATGCACTTTATGCATTAAACATGGACGTGATAGACGCTGACACTGAATCCTGTTTGGTTTCAATTATTACTGTTTCATCTTCTTTTATGATATTAGGAGATAAAATATCAACAATCGACTCATGCTTGTCAAGCATTAGTGAAAGTGAAAATGGAAAGTAAAGTGACGAAGAAACAGAGTAGTATAGTGGCAGGTATGGCTCGTCAAAACAAACCCCCACCATCGGCTCCTCTGGCGCCATGGGCGTGGCTTGTCTTTCCCTCACCACCAGCGTTTGGTTTTTCCGACTGCGAGTGTTAGGGGAAAAAAATGACGACTGGCCCCGAAAGGTGGGGATGAGAATTTTTTTTATTTTTCTGATTTTCTCTAGATTGAACCCGGGACCTCCGCGTTTCCGAGCAGGGTCCTAGTATGCTTAGCTAAACGAGATCTTACTAGTCTAAGAATTAGATGAGGCATTTAAGCTAAAGTTGCGTGTAGAGTACGGTATGGGGGTTCGGGTATACGTATGGCAAGGATAGCTCGTTGAATCAAAATGGCCGATATTGGGCAGGGTGGAGTACAAACAGTTTGACCAAGAAAAGCATCATACGGTCGAACGGGGATCGGTGGCAGATAGTGGTTGACGATGCCGTAGGGTAATAAAAAAAAAGAAAAAAAAAAGAACACGCAAATATTTGTTCAGGCGAGCATTCTGACTCGTGTCACGATAAAAAATAATACATCATTGTCGATTAGAAAGAATGCTTATTGTTGAAAAGATGGCAAATAAAATTTTATTTAAAAATAACACGCGGCTTAATGAAGGTGAACAGGAACATGCACGTTGAGGAAATTTCTGGAAAGAGGAAGTAAAAGAAAATTGAACAATAATTTTAAAAAGTACAAATATGATTTATATTTTAAAAATATTTTTACAGAACAAAATTCATTTGTTGATACCAAAATTCATATTATATATTGTTATGATTCGCTTGTTTTTTATGAGTAAAAATTTTACGAAATAAGTGTATGATTAAACAATCGTTATATTCACAATCTTCGGAAAAAAGAGCAAAAAACTGATTAAGATTATAACTGCTGCACATATAATATAAAAATACACAACAGTATTGTCCGCAAGTCTTAGAAAAAATTCCTTGTAATTGCTGAATATTCCAGCGATGGATGATGGAGTTTCGTCGAAGTCGGATGAGAAATCCTGGATACAAGGGGGGCAATCCGTAGCTGTCGAAGTAAGTGGCTGTGCCGTGTTCATCGAGGTAGAAGGCGATCCAATGTTCTCCAGGTCGATCGTGATTGTCGGTGTTAGCGACGATAGCCGTCTACCTCGTCCACACCCTCAAAACTCTGTCGGCTGCATAGACTCCAACATGTCTGGCATCGAGATGACGCAATGCTTGTAGAATTTCGCGAGAGTTCATTTTTTTGTCCCGAATACGAACGAGTGTACGGTATTATTTGAACAATACCGGTTTTTGCCTCTTTCGATAATGTGTTTTCTTCTATTTTGAGTTGTTTTGAGAAGTTTTCAATGTCAGTTTGCGTCGAGATGGAAATTGTTTCGTTCTTGTTTCTATCCGTCAACGTCGATGACGATTCAGAAATCACAAATCTCTCTTCTTCTTTTTCAATTTGCTGTTCGTTGTTTTGCTGATTTTTCTCCTCTATTTGTATTTTAGTTATATTCTCATTTACATCGCAAGAAACGGTAGCTTCGTATTTATCGTCGCTGTCGTCGAAGGTAATTTCCCAACTTTCCTCAGAACTACAAGTAGCTTCAGTAGAGGTCGAAACGTTCTCGCAATTATTTTGCGCACTTAGCCAGCATTTTAATTTATAAGCATTGTATAACGCGCAATAAAAGATTCCAAATTTTCGAATCCCGTGATGACCGCAATATTGTACGGTATCTTCCTCATCCGGTAGATTTTTAAATGCTGGTGAGGTACCCTCCAAATTATTTATATTTCTGGAAAGTAAATTCCTCAAGTAGTTTGCTTTTTCGTTACCTCTGACGTAAATGCAACGCGCGTGTCTTGCAATTTCGCGGAGATGTGAAGTAAAATATTTGGGATTAACTGAGCTATCGAACCACTCGATACCGTGATAATTTCGTGAGAGCCAATTGTTTTCTCGTCTTGCTTTTGCGGGTAATTTTCCAAACGCGTATGGTGGCATCATAATCCAATACTCGACAATCGAAGCATTGATTGCGACAACGGCGACTTCCTTTACAATAAATTTATTGGCTTCATCGCGGAAACCTTGTATGTCGACGACTATGTCCATATTGCGAGATTTTTGTTGGTGAGGTACAAGTTCTTAGCGAAACGTGCGCGTTCGTTCGTGTCTCGTACGAAACTGAATTCATTCTAGCACGTTACATAGGGGGCTATTACGGTTCTTGGATTGGGTGAAAATGACGAAAGTGAGCAACTCACCCAATTACAATTGATCTCACTTCGTGAAAATATGAATTCACTCGCGTGAATGGGCTCGACACGAAATTTTAAGTGAAAAAGTGAAATTAAGCAGCAGTGAACGAAGAGAAACAATTGTTCTTCGCGCGCGCGTGTGTAAAATGAATAATTGAATCGTGATATTTCTGCAACGTCGAGATAATACACTATTAAGAATACGAAGACGATTATGAGATGCTTCAGATCCATTTAATATTCCAGAAAATGAATTCCGCAGTCTTTACAGGTAAATACAATTTTTAAATACTTTTAAAAGTTATATTTTTTAAATTTACATTTACAATAAAAATAAAAAATACACTCGAATAAAATGAAAAATATACCTTTAATAATTTTTTAAAGATTATCCAGAGAAGCTGTACGAGTGCTGATTGAAGATTTGCGACCTTTATTACCAAACACGAGAAGACGTCATGCAGTTCCTATTGAATTACAGGTATGAAGTTATATATGTGTGTACATATATATGTACTGTGTATATATATATAAATGTCACACACATTGCAAAGTATTATAATGATTTTACTTATAGAAAAAATATGGTATTTATAATATATTTATACAACAATTTTTGTTACAGATTCTAATTGCGTTAAATTTTATAGCTTCTGGTTCATATCAAAAAAGAGTTGGACAGGATTATTTATCATGTGTAAGCCAACCAACAGTTAGCAAAATTCTACCCAATGTTGTCAATGCGTTGAATATTTTAATGCAACAGTGGATTCAATTTCCAATCGAAGAGGGAGAAATTCAGCATGCAAAAGAAAGGTAAGTTTAATGAATTTAATCTATAATAAAGTAATAGTACATATTATAATACATACATATTACGCATTATATCATAGTAAATAATGAATAAATTAAGTAATTATTTTAACTCTTTAATTGGAAATTGAATCCATTGTTGCATTAAAGTATTCAACGTATTGACAACATAAAAACGTAGAATTTTGCTGACTGTTGATTAGCTTACACATGATAAATAATTCTGTTCAACTCTTTTTTTATATGAACTGGAAGCCATAAAATTTAACGCAATTAGAATCTGTAACAAAAAATTATTGTATAAATATATATGTTATAAATACCATATTTTCTCAATAAGTAAAACATTATGATACTTTGTAATGTGTGTAACATTATATAAGAAAAAATATATTTTACTTTAATGTTAAAGGTTCTGGGCACGTACACAGTTCCCTGGCGTTATTGGAGCAATAGACGGAACCCATATAGCAATTGTTCCACCAAAAGCAGAAAGACAACATCTCTATATTAATAGAAAATTATATCATTCATTAAATGTTCTTATTGTAAGTAACTTTATCTATAATATACAAAACTCACACACAATATATATATAAAATATATGTATGTAATAAATTTATAGGTATCGGATTATGAAGGTAAAATTTTGACCGTAAATGCTGCACATGGTGGAAGAACACATGATGCCAGAGTGTGGAGGGCATCTCTTCTATCGAATCATTTGCAGGAAATGTATACTAAAGGACGAAGAGATGCTTGGCTTTTAGGTAATAATATTTAGTTGATAGAGTGTTTTCTTTTATTTCAGTTTTGGCAATAATATTTTTCAATGTATAATAAACTTTATATGTCTTTTCTTTTATAGGTGATAGTGCTTATCCACTGCTGCCATATTTGATGACATCTAAGCTGAATGTACCTGAAGGTACACCAGCAGCAAGATACACACAGCATCATGTTCGAGCTCGATCTTGTGTGGAACGATGCATAGGAGTACTAAAGGGAAGGTGGCGATGCCTAAGAAAAGAGAGAGCTCTACATTATGAACCAGAAGTTGCAGGTATAATTGATATTAAAATCTGAAAGTAGAAATATTAAACATTGTGGCCATTTATGTCAGTAACAATAAATGTCCAACTTCTAAAATGTTTCAGGAGAACGTTTCATTTGTAACGTTATTACAACGTACAGGTAATGTAACAATAGAATTTTGTATAACTATACTTGTACAATGCAATAACGTTACAAATAAAACGTTCTCCTGAAATATTTTAGAGGAGGGACATTTGCTGATGCCGAAATGTTAGCGTGACATTTCGTCAACATAATAGCCAAAATGTTTAGTGCAATGCATGTAAAATGTATTAAATATATATATATATATATATATATATATATATCATATTATTATCTCATAACGTATATAAAATATGTTTATTGCAACTAATATATGTAGGAATTAAGAAGTTATACCGTTAATATAAAATAAGTATATCCTACCGACATGTTTATGTCTCGTCATGCGTGTTGTCGAAACAGGTTATTTGTCTAAATTTTATTATATCCCCTGTTATTTGAGCGTATTGTGTTGTTCGTTGTCGAGACAATAGCCTTGTTATTGCGAGCGAAAATCAGCAGGTAACTGCTACGGCGACCTTCTCGAATAATCCGCGTATGTTAGCCGAAAATAAAAGACTGTTGACGATTTCGGAGAAAAGGAGGTCAGAAGACCGTTTCCCGCGAAAGAGAAAAGACGTGTTCTTGCGTAGACAAGCTGCTCGAAAATCTCCTGGCGAATCACGCGAAATAAAGGAAACTGTATACGCGCATCTATACTTATATAATTAAACTTCATTTGATTAAAGTTGAATATTCATATCCTTTATTTTATTCATTTAAAATAAAATCCAAATCCGCGTTTAAACCTACAAATTTTTGGGGGCTCGTCCGGGATAATACTAAGACGTTAGGTGCGGTAGTGCTGAGTGCGGCTGCATCGGCTCTGAGTGAGCGAATGACGCTGAGTGTGGTGGACTTGGATGCGGATTTGACGTTTCGGTGAGTCAACGAGGAGATAGGATGAGTACCGCAAAGAATCCGTCCGATTTTACGGTGGCGACGCTTAAGGACAAACTCAGAGTTCGTGGATTGAGTGTGGCCGGCTCAAAGAACGAACTCATAAATCGACTGATGGAGGAGGATCCTGAGGGCGGATGGCTTGCTGACGAGTTGGATGCGGGACCCGAGAGTCGGGATGCATTCGAGATGCCCGTAGAGGAGGCGAGAGTATCGCTACGAGAGATGGAGGTGATGAGGAGAGAGAGAGAGCTTTTGGAGAGAGAGTTGGCGTTGGCGCGGCGAGAGACGGAGTTTCTTCGAGCGAGAGAAAGAGAGAGAGAGAGAGAGCGGGGAGAGGCGGCCGAGCGGGGGATGGATCGGGCGTCAGGACGACAGGCGGCGGACCCGACGGAGACGACCGGGACAACGGCGCGGCCGAGCATAACTGCAATCGCCGAATTATTGGCGCACTTTGATGGAGTGAGTGGCTCATGGGAGGTCTGGGAGAAACAAGTGCGACTCCTTACGACGACCTACAGACTGCATGACGAGATGGCAAAAATTCTGATAGGTTCGAGACTGAAGGGCAAGGCGGCTGAGTGGTTCCGCTCAAAGCCCGAGCACATTGAAATATCGACGGACGGCCTTCTCGTTGCTATGAAAGCTATGTTTGATCATCGCCCGAATAAGCTGGCCCGAAAGAGAGAATTCGAGGGACGGACCTGGAAGAGAGGCGAAACCTTTGGTGCATACATGCACGATAAAATCATTTTGGCAAACCAGGTGCCGATTGAGAATGACGACCTTATAGATTACATTGTGGACGGCATATCAGACTTGAATTTGCAAGACCAAGCACGAATTCAGGGGTTCACGACGACGGCATCCCTGTTGAAGGCTTTTGAGAAGGTGACTTTGCGGCCGAGAGGACATCGAGAGAGCGGTGTCGTGCTGACGGGACGATCGGACGCTGCAGTGACGGAGCGTGGAGCGCAGAGACCCCATGGAGGAGCAAGGCAGTGGAGAGGCGACGGAGGAGAGAGGAATCGTCGAGATCAGAGACGCTGTTATAATTGTGGAGGACAGAATCATTTGAGTGCGAATTGTCCGACTAAGGAGAACGGCGTGAAATGCTATAGTTGCGGCGAGCGCGGGCACATAGCGGCGAGGTGCACCGGGAGGGCGAGCGTTGAAAAAATTAGCTGCGTGGTAAGCGGATATTATGACGGTAAATATTATAAGAATGTATATATAAATAATTGTAAAATTTTAGCAATGATCGATACTGGTAGCGATATGTGTTTAATGCGCGCGGAGTGTCATAATAGATTGGGCGTCCCGTTGCGGGGAAATAAGATTCATTTCCGCGGTGTCGGTTCAGATAACAATGAGACGCTAGGCGAATTTGATGCGGAAGTTAATATTGACGAAGACATTTGTCCCATGAGAATACGAGTAATTTCTGACGAGCTTATGAGATACGATCTTATAATCGGAGCTGACTTTTTAAGAACGGTAGATATTACAATAAAGAAAGGCGAAATATTAATCGTGAAACAGAGAACGGATCCCGAATTGCCGGAAATATTTCAAATCAATTGTGTACGCGAAACAGACAAATTAGACGGCGCACATCTGAATAATGATTATCGGAGCACGTTAGAAAATATCATTTGTAATTATGTACCGAATAAAACGCGTGACGTAAACATCAAAATGAAATTAATCCTTAAAGACGATGAACCCGTATATCAGAGAGCGCGACGATGCTCCGAACAAGAAAAAAAGCTAATTAAGCAGCAGGTAGATGAATGGGTGCGCGACGGTATCGTGCAACCGTCTTTGTCGGAATATGCAAGTCCGGTAGTCTTGGTGAAAAAAAAAAACGGCGCGTATCGGCTATGCGTGGATTATCGGCGCTTGAATCAAAAGATTATAAAGGATAGATATCCGTTGCCATTAATCGACGACCAACTAGCTCGATTGCAAGGTGCGAAGGTTTTTACCACCTTAGATTTAAAGAACGGGTTTTTTCACGTCGAAGTGGATGAAGATAGTCGGAAATTCACGGCCTTTATTATACCCGACGGGCAGTACGAATTTTTGAGAATGCCGTTCGGGTTGTGCAATTCGCCGGCCGTGTTTCAGAGATTTGTTAACGCCACCTTCAGAGATTTTATTAGCGACGGAACCGTTTTAACCTATATGGATGATTTAATAGTACCGTCAGAAAATTATGAAGACGCTTTGGAAAATCTCCGGCGAGTATTTGATAGAGCGAGCCAGTCCGGATTGGAGATTAATTGGGATAAATGTCAATTTTTAAAAACAAAGGTAGAATTTTTGGGACACATAATCGAGTCAGGTAACGTGCGGCCGTCGGAAGCAAAAACAGACGCAGTTATGAGATTTCGCGAACCGAGGAATGTCAAACAGGTGCAGAGTTTTTTAGGCTTGTCTGGCTACTTCCGAAAATTCATTTACAATTATTCATTAATTGCGCGACCCTTGACAAATTTGTTGAGAAAGAATGTCGTATTTCGTTTTGAGGAAAATGAGAAAAATGCGTTCAACAAGTTGAAGGTAGCATTGGTCGACAAGCCTGTTCTGAAAATATATAAAATAAATGCGACCACCGAACTCCATACCGACGCATCAAAATATGGATATGGTGCTATTTTATTGCAGCGCGACGATAATAATTTATTGCGTCCTATTTATTATGCGAGTGGTCGAACCACACCGGCAGAAGAAAAATATACTAGTTACGAACTTGAGGTACTCGCGATTATAAAGTCTTTAAAAAAATTCCGCGTTTATTTGATAGGAATACCTTTTAAGATCGTGACTGATTGTAAGGCGTTTAGCTTAACGATGAACAAAAAAGATTTGTGCGTGCGAGTGGCGAGATGGGCTCTGCAATTAGAAGAGTTCAATTACACTATCGAGCATCGTCCGGGAAAATCTATGGCGCATGTCGACGCGCTAAGTCGGAATCCGTTACCGATGTGCATGTCGTGTGAGAGCGAGGATAATGTGACGTCACGAATCCGGAGAGTGCAACGTGAGGATGCACATTTGCGGGAAATAATAGAAATGACCGAAGCGAAAAAGGCCGTCGGTTTTATAATACGAGCGGGTATTTTATTTAAAATAGACGACGACGGGGAGCGTATGGTAGTTCCGCGAGCCCTGCAATCACAAATTATTAGAAGAGCGCACGACCGGGACATCTATCGGCGTTAAAAACCGAGCGAGTAGTGGCGAGAGAATATTGGATGCAAGGCCTGAAAGCGAAGGTCGAGAAAGTGGTTCATAATTGCGTGCCGTGCATTTTGGCTGAGAGGAAGCATGGAAAGAAGGAAGGACTGTTGCATCCGATCGAAAAGGGCGAGGCTCCCTTGGATACACTACACGTCGATCATCAGGGACCTCTCCCCTCAACGCGCAAACGATACCGACATATATTGGTGGTGGTGGATGCGTTCACCAAGTTTGTGTGGCTTTACGCGGTTAGGACCACTAATGCGGCGGAGGTTTTAGCGTGTTTAGCGAAGCAGGCGCGTATTTTTGGAAATCCGAGGAGGATCGTGTCCGATCGAGGTTCGGCTTTCACCTCTAGCGATTTTCGAGAATATTGTGAGGCGGAAGGAGTGCAACACGTCCTCACAACAACGGGTATGCCGAGAGCAAACGGACAGGTGGAGAGAGTCAACCGGACGTTGATTCCAGTACTGACAAAGCTGTCTGACCCTCGGCCGGAAGAATGGCACAAATATTTGGGCACTGTGCAGCAATATTTAAACGCCACGTCGCATAGAGGTATTGGGACAACGCCCTTCAACTTACTCTTTGGAATACATATTAGATTGAAAGACGATATCTCTATTCGTGAAATAATAGAGAAGGAATTGATTACTATTTTTGAGGAAAATCGAGATGAGACGAGAAGACAAGCCAAAGAGAGCATAAAGCGAATTCAGCAAGAGAATCGTCACGGATTCAATAAACGGAGAAAACCAGCGACAATTTATCATATCGGCGATCTCGTCGCCATTAAGAGAACGCAGGCAAAGCCAGGACTGAAACTCGCGGCGAAATACCTTGGTCCATACCGAATTAAGAAGATCCTGAGAAATGATCGATATATTGTCGAGAAAATGGGCGAGCACGAAGGGCCTTATGAAACTTCCACCGCGGCAGAGTACATTAAGCGCTGGGTAGACGAAAATGACGAAGTGACAACGGAAGAAGAAACCGAAGATATCTGAGGACAGATATTGGCGCAGAATGGCCGATTGTAGGAATTAAGAAGTTATACCGTTAATATAAAATAAGTATATCCTACCGACATGTTTATGTCTCGTCATGCGTGTTGTCGAAACAGGTTATTTGTCTAAATTTTATTATATCCCCTGTTATTTGAGCGTATTGTGTTGTTCGTTGTCGAGACAATAGCCTTGTTATTGCGAGCGAAAATCAGCAGGTAACTGCTACGGCGACCTTCTCGAATAATCCGCGTATGTTAGCCGAAAATAAAAGACTGTTGACGATTTCGGAGAAAAGGAGGTCAGAAGACCGTTTCCCGCGAAAGAGAAAAGACGTGTTCTTGCGTAGACAAGCTGCTCGAAAATCTCCTGGCGAATCACGCGAAATAAAGGAAACTGTATACGCGCATCTATACTTATATAATTAAACTTCATTTGATTAAAATTGAATATTCATATCCTTTATTTTATTCATTTAAAATAAAATCCAAATCCGCGTTTAAACCTACATATATATATATATATTAGTTTTTTTTACATACATAAACACGCGCGCGCGCGCACATACACACACACACAATTAATCCAATGATCGTCGACTAAAAATACCTTAAGTACAGATTTGCAATTAACATTACATTTGATGTATATATGTTATGAGATGTTTACCATATATAAATATTGCATAAATATTTTCATTTTTAGCTCGAATAGTTAATGCTGCCTGCGTCTTACATAACATTGCTATTCGTTGGAGACTTCCAGAACCGGAGCTATATTATGATGTAATAGATTTAGAAGTTCCAAGATATCAAGAGATAGCAATGGAAAATGGGAATGAAGTTCGGCAAAGAATCATAAATACATATTTCCAAAATAGGCACTTATAATTTCAACATTTTTATTTAATTTATTTATATAATTTTATTTATTGAGGTAACAGCCGAAACGTTTTTTTATTTTTATTATCATTGTATTTACTAAGAAATAAATCAATTATGTGTTGACATTACATCTCTCACTAATTTAATATGCTCGTTATAGTTGGCCCTGTCTTTCTAAATCTTAATTTTATAATAACACACGAGCCTTGTCTTTAAATATCTAATTGTTTTCCTCATTAAATATAATTTTATTTTTATTTATTTTTATTTTTATAATCATATTTATTTTTATTAATCACAGTTTGACAGTCATTACAGTGTCTAATCTCTTTTGAACATAAAATCTCTATAACATAAAATATTTGCTAACATTAGAAGTATCTTTTAAACATATAATACTGATGCAAAAAATATCAGGTACAGAAAATATCACCTACATGTTTATGTCTTATATAATTATTAAAAATTATTTAAAATATTGTTTATTTATTATATATTTATAATATAACAAATATAAATAAATAATTGAAATAGCAAAGATTTTTTAGCTTTTTGATAATTATGTAAGATATGTAGGTGATATTTTCTCCATTTCTTCTCTTAAACGCATAACATTGTAGTCAATATTACTTAAAATATATTTATAGTCAGAATAAATATCTTTTAAATATTCAAATTTTTCTTTCCGTAAAAGTAATTTTTCTTTAGAGATCCTTAATTTCTCATTTTTAATTTCAAGATTTTCACGCATTAATTGCACAGCTGCACCAGAATTATTTTCTTTACTATTGGTAGCTGAAAAATAAAAGAAACATTAAAATATAATATTGTTTCAAAATTTTATATTCTATTTAATTTTATTTTAATATCAATATTTAAAAAAAGCACAAAAATCAATAATATTTAATACCTTATTTGCTTCGTGTTTCATAACGTTCAGAAATAACTTTCACTTGTGATGCGGTATTTATATTTTCATCCTCCAAAACATCAACATTAGCATTAATTTCATCCTCCAAAACATTAACATTAGCATTAATTTCATCAATGTCAATTTCTTCAAATTCAATATTATCAACAATGCTGCTTTCCATTTCCTATAAATGATTAATTTTTATTACAAATATATAAATATATGAGCATACATTCTATTCGTGAATAAAGATATGTGATTTTACTAACCTGTGCCAAAAAATCTGTGTTTGTAGAAGTTGATGGATTATTATTAGTTACATCTATCTTGTACATTTTATTGTTTGTAGGTAATATAGAAGTATATTTCTGAAAATATTTAAATATGTAAAAATTATTTGGGATATTATCATATTATCTATTATTAATTCCTATTAAAACTAAACATATTATTCATTATTAATGATATTATATTAGTATGTATTATATTCGAATGCACATATATGTATATACTCTTTTTATTTGCGCAGCAATAGATGAGTTTTGTTCTTGCACAGTCTTACATGATCCTTCATTTGTATAAAAAGATTCTTTCAAAGATCTTTTCGAAATTGTATCATTAAGTGCAGACTCTCTCGGTCTAATTCTACTAAAATTTCCTGCTTCAGATATCTGAAGCAAACTAGCAGATTCGTTCGAGGATCTTTTTGAGATTGTATCATTAGGTGCAGACTTTTTCTGTTTAATTCTACTAAAATTTCCTCCTTCAGGTATCTCAGGCAAACCAGCTGCTTCCGGATCTATGATTTCTAATAAATTTTCTTCTAGTTCTGTTAATTTAAGAATCTTTGGTGGTCCTCCGCCTGTACCGCCAGCGTAACTTTTATTTTGGGCGCATTTTTTTAATACATTTGATTTCCAGTCCCTCCATGTCTACATTTATATAAAACACGCAATTTTTTAGAAGTCCATTCTATAACAGTTACCAATAATTGTAAGCCTGTATGTAATTGCTGCGCATGCTTTTTCAACATTTAATAAAATATGCACAACAATTACATACAAAGCTTACAGTTATTAGTAACAGAATAGGCTTCTTATTAATCATACTAGTGTAAATATAAAAGGCCTATTCTGTAACACTAGTTAGCAATAACTGTAACTTCTGTATATCGTTGCACACAGCGATTATATACAGAGCTTACAATTATTGGTAATCAGAATTACAGAATTGATTATTACAGAATGATCGCTAAATGTTATTCTGATCACTTAATAAGACATTATAATTTCTTTTATAAATACCTTTTGCCATTCTTTGCCTTGCTTTTGCGGTCCATTTCCAGTAGCATTTAATGATTGGCTTATGGCAGTCCACATATCATCCTGTGTAAATAAAATTTATTATTATTAATATCTATATTATTATATATTTATATATATATTATAAATAAAATACAATGACATTCACGATAAGAATTTCGATGTATATATTAATTTATAGATAATATGATACACACTTACTAATATTTTCTTATTGGCACTATTATATCTCAAGCGGCCTCTTGCAAAATCCTCGTTTTCTTTCATGTAGCTTAATAATATTTTTTTTGCTTTTCGGTAACGTTCATGATTAATTAATATTTTTAACCTCACACTTCTAACACTATCGGCGGTCTCGGCGAATCTGTCTTGTGAAAATGTGAGATTACTAGACCGGAAATGCCTAGTTATTTCACATTTTCACTCGACAGTTTCATAATTGGGTGATCAAAATCACGTAAAATGATAATGCGAAAAGTGAGTAAATTCACTCAAAAACCGTAATAGGCCCCATAGTTTCCACTTTGTGAAAAGCGTCATCGAAATTTTCAAAGGAAGAGGAGAAGGAAAATTTTCTAATCGCGTATTACATTACGGTGTATGAATACATGTTGGTGAACGAGCGTTAAAAGGTAACCGGAAAAATCTACGATAACTTGACGCGATGCGTCGATTTCTATGACATTATCGAATTCGGCGTAAACGATACAATTGATTGTTTTAGTGAGTGCCTTCTCAAATCTTACTTTTAACCGTAGACTTCCGTGTCTCACGAGATTCGAATGACCGGCGCAATTAGCGGATAGATCGGGTGTAAGATCAAAAGCGAATAACGTATATCCCTGAGAATAATCATCTCTACTTATGGAATTTCCCTCGTTCAAAAAATAGATATCCGTCCCTGAGAAGAGCGTATGATAAGCTTCGATGTAAAGCGGTTTGCGAGACGAGAAAACCGGTTGTGATGGTCTACTGGGTATTTGTGTACCGTCGACGTATAGCGAAAAGAAATTTATTCCGTAATTTTGGAAATTAAACAGATTCAATTTTCTGTCACCGTTAAACGCTTTATTATCGACGAAACCTACTATTATTCGTTTTGGTAATTGTCCCAGTATTACATTATCTAACGATTCACCCACAACCCCGCTGTGAATCGTGAATGTTTTAATTTCAACTCTCGTAAGCGGATACTTGGCTGTAACTTTGCTCAGCATTTTAGCATGCGCTAGTAATACTCCGGAGCTTAATTTTGCTCTTCTTACCAATAGGTTTGCATCGAGTATACGAATTTTCGACGTGCAATTACTTTCTATGAAACAAAACGTATCTTTCAAACGCACGAGTCTCAACCGCACCTCGACGCCATTAATTAAGAATTTGTCCTGATTGAAAACGTCGCAATGGAAGTGACCTATAAGATCTAGCGCGCGCTCTCCGCGTATGTAACGAGCTCGTCTCATTATAGCGATATTGCCTTCCGCTCCTACCGTATCGTCCATGTGCCCGGGTGTATCCGCGTCCCATAAGCACGAGGTTAGATGGGAAGTTTTTGCGGGTGATGAATAATTTAACAACGCTTCGATGTACGCGCGGTACGCATAAGCGTTGTTTGGAGGCGACACGAGCTTTTGATTGAAATACACGTCGATTTGATTGAAGATGGAATTAAGAAAATAATTTACAGGACCCACGTTGACGGCGGCTGCGGCGGCGAGACCGGGTAGCGGCTCGGTTTCTACGCGTACCCGAAGACTTAGTAACGTGTGTGTGAGATCTAAATATTCTTCTCCGTGACCCGGGATGACGAATTCTAGCGGGGAGTCGTCCGAAAGCGAGGTCACGGGTTTGTAATGAATCCATTGCGAACTTACGATGCTAGTTTGCGTGGGCGGTAAAGAGAAGAGATCGAGCTCGCTCTTTAAACACTCGCTCGAGTGTGTGTGAAGAAATGACATTCTTTTCTATCGCCGCTCGCTCTACTAACGTTATTGTCACGGATAAACGTATTTAGAATAATGGCGCTTATGAAAATATATCGTATACTGTGCGCTTTTTACCGCTATCAGCTTTACGCCGTTTCGCGGACAACTTGAGTCTTTTATAGTCGAACGATTTTTCCTCGTATTATTTTTAGTTTTTTTTGTATTTGTTCTTTTTTTTCCACGCGACTTGATTTTCGATAAACTTTTTTTCTTACTTGTCTTACGCCGTTTATGCGACGCGGTTAGCGAGGATTTAGCGACGTGAGTCGTAAGCCCGCCGAAAGGAAACTGCGCTACATGAATTTTTTCATCTGATTTATATCCCGTACCTTTTATTAGATTACTTATTTTTTCCTAGTTTTTCTCTTAAGATTGTTACGTGATTATTCAAAACGATGCTTGACAGCTACCCTTAACGGCATTTTATTTTCAATATCTTCGATTATATTAACCCCGACCTGCAAAGCTTTTTTACCCACTGCCCCTAGATCTCTAGTTAAATAAGGCAATACACGTCTGAACATTCCTCTAAGAAAACTGCCTATTCCATAACCGCGTTGATAGAGTGAACCGACAAAAACTCGTAGAATTCCACCGCCGCGAGTTCCATCGTTTTGTAATCCGTTATAATACTCCGAATAATAATCCATATTAATGAACCCTTCTTTCTTATCAAAAAAATTTTTACAGAGTATTTTTAAAAATCTAATCGATACGTTTAAAATGTAAAGTCACCGTTAACGTGTCGGATTCAAATAGTATTTTTTTTTCAGCATCGTCTTTTATATCAATTTCAATTTGTCGGAAATTTGTTAGGCGCACCGGGATATAATGCGGAGGTAAGAAATGTTTCACTTGATTCGTTCCAAATTCGTAATCGCGCCCACCCCCCGTGACAGGCACTATTCGGAGAAGAGGAGTTTGCACAGCGCCTGTTATGTAAGGCTCGCAAATATCACAATAAACAAACAGTTTATCGGGAATACCCCGCGTCAAACTACACGCTTCGTAACTATAGAATCCCTCGCGGACGTACTCCATTTTTGTCAAGAGAACCGAGTTTAAGAAAAATTGAAGTAGATTTTTTTTTGGAATTAAGTTTAGATGTCGTGAGCGTAGAACAAAAGACTTTTCCCCTAGGAGCGTTATGAAGAAAATCTGCTAACTGAGCATTTGCAGAAGTCTATCGGAAAAATGCATATAATGAATCAGATTGCAGCCAGCAGGACACGCGAGGGAGAACAAAATACTACCGCCTGTAAAGAGTGACCGCAAAAACAGGCCAAAAATCGCCTGTTTCTTCGCCCTCGAATTCGGACTTAATTTTGATGTTAAATGATAGTTTATCATGAGACATTAATTCTCTGAAATTTTCAAAGTGAGCATATTTTTTACTGCTGAGAAATAAGGGGTCAAAGTTGTCATTATGCACCTTGCTTCTCACGAAACGATTCACGAAACATGTATATGTGTCAATATATTCTTTCAGTTTTGCCTTTTGGGAATAATTATTGATACATTACATATATCTGGATTAGGTATATCTATTCCATTGTACTGCCATAGCCACGATACCACATAATTGTCATAAACTTTTATCGTATTCGTATATTACAATTATATTTTTTTTGTCAACTCTATATATATATATATACATATACATGTATATATACATATACATGTATATATATATATACATGTAAGTATATATCAACTCTATATATACATATATATATATATATGTGGAGGCATTCCGCCACAAGACACGCGGCGCCTTACGACCGGACGCCCGTCTGACACGGGAGCTTATCCACGCGCGCGAGAAAAGAGAAAGCGCTCGCGAAAGCTCTCGCGCAAGCCGCAGCTTCAATCTCCCACCACGTGACGGCGACTCACGCGAAGTTGCTATCCGCAGAGATCGCGCGAATGGGAAGATATAAAGCCGCGCGCGGCGAAGATAAGCAGCTATTCTACTCTTTCGAAAATCATTTTTGAAGACTAGTTTCTAGCGAACTATTTTCAGGTTTTCTGTTTGTATTATTTCGATACTACAGCATTGAAAAAAATGCCTTTCATAATTTGCGTTGGCTGTCAATATCAGAAAAGATCAAAAAATGATAAGTTTTATCCTACTGACAGTGTTTCTTTGATTACTATTAATAATTTGAGACAAACATATAATGCAAGAAAGCGATTAAATGAAATCAACGATATCCCAGTAGCTAGTAAAATCTGTAGAACTTGCTACGATTTGATACGCAACAATTCTATCGTTTCATTGAATTTAAATAATACTCCTGATTTGACAATTTATAGAAAAGGTTTAAACGGTCATACACAGTGTACATTTGGCTGCAAAAATATAGGAAACTTAATTTCAGTTCCAAGTATAACGCGCCAATCACTACTTATGAATTATAAGTTTCTAATTCTTTCTGATTCTCGCATGTGCTCTGAACATTTAGCTATTGATAACTATTGGCCTTTTGTGAAACAAATCACACGTGAAGTGGCAGCTGAAGATCAAATAATAATTAGTGATCTTATGTTTGATTATTATCATAATTCTCGAAGAAATGAAAAGCATGCTTTTGATATAGACAATATTAATTCTATTGACGACGATGCTTTCGAAGCATGGTTCGCTTTCGATAAAAGCCAGTTTAAAAAGATCTGTGATTTTGTTAAAAATTGTAAACCTAAGCATGTAGCTGTTTTCCTTTGTAAATTGCGCACTTCTCTTTCAAATAAACAATTGGCTTTTCTATTTGGATGCAGTGAACGAACAATTAGTAATTACATGGATAATGCAAGAAAAGATTTGCTTGAGAATTTAATGCCACGATTCATCAATAATAATGATCGAACAGTTCTAGTCAATCATAATACTCCTATGGCGAAGGTATTGTTTGATATTCCTGACGAAAATGGCTCTTGCGTTTTCGATGCTACGTACCGATTGGTACAAAAGTCAAAGAATTTTGCTGGTCAAAAACAACTATGGAGCGAACAAAAGAAAATGCCGCTTGTAAAACCAATGGTAGGATGTGCTCCTGATGGCTATATACTTTTCGTTTTAGGGCCCTTTGACGCAACTCATAATGATGCAATCATACTAAAAGAATGTTTCAACAGATATAAAGAGACATTGGCAATTTTTCAACCAAATGATGTTCTTTTTGTCGACAATGGATTTCGAGATGTTCTTGAGGAACTCAAACAAAAAGAGCTGCTTGCTTACATTCCTGGCACTGGAAAACGAGATACCTTGGAAGCAAATAAGTCGAGATTTGTCACAAAGGTCCGATGGATTATCGAACAAGTATTTGGTCGACTTAAAAAAAAATTCAAATTGTTCGCTTTACCAGCCCATAATGCTACTTTATTACATGATTATGAATCTCTCTTAATTTCTTTTGCGCTTCTTAACTTATTTCATAAGCCAATTTTAAGTGATGAAACACATGAAAATATTGCACATGTAATGAAATCAAGATTGAATGTTCCAAACCGTTTAAAAGGTATTGTTGAACAATACAATCTTTTGCAAATAAAAGTTCCTTACATTGAGCTTAATTATACAGCAGTAGATAATCAGGAAAATAATCGTCTCCTCCAGTTTCCGCAACTCACAATAAATGACTTATATTATGTCAGTCTTGGACCTTATCAAATAAGCAATGCTATTTCTTATTACGCAGAGCATCAAAAAGAAGGAATCTTTCTTGTACACAAGTTTGAACCAAGCCCAAGACATAGGACTTCTGGTTTAGACTATGCCAATCACGATATTGCCATTACAGATCCGCTCCTTGTAAAAGCTTACATGAAATCTCGATATCGCAGCGGAAAAAATCACCACATTTTTGTACTAGTAGACAAGTCTAAATCTGGAAAGGACGCGATTGTAGAATATTATTGTACTTGTGAGAGTGGTTCTCGAACTGTTGGCTGTTGTAGCCATATAATGACAATTATGTGGTACCTTGGGTATGGGCAGTACAATGGAATAGATATACCTAATCCAGATATATGTAATGTGTCAATAACTATTCCTAAAAGACAAAACTAAAAGAATATATTGACACATATACATGTTTCGTGAATTCCTTCGTGAGAGGCAAGGTGCGTAATGACAACTTTGACCTCTTATTTCTCAGCAACAAAAAATATGCTCAATTTGAAAATCTCAGAGAATTAATGTCTCATGATAAGCTATCATTTAACATCAAAATTAAGTCCGAATTCGAGGGCGAAGAAACAGGCGATTTTTGCGGTCACTCTTTTTCTTGCTCCAAACGAAAATGGGAACCGACTTGCATGACAAATTAATCATGGAGACGAGCTCTTCCATGTTATTATAAACGCCACACAGTATTACGGCTTCCTTCGAAGTTAACACCTCATCTTTTTTATTTTTCTCTTTAACTTGAAGGTTAATATCGACGAAACTGAGTATATTTTCTTCGCGCTTTATATGAAAAAAAGTATTAGAGAATTGGATTTCACTCAATGTGACTTCCCATTCACCGTGTAAGTGCAGCGATTGAGGTAATTCCGTAATGAATGACGAGGTTTTATTGTTGGGGAAATAGCGCATACTGCTATTGCTTGGAAGAACCAGAAGAAATTGATCCGCCCTTATTTCGAAGAATAGTTAAATTCGAAGCGGATATCCAGGAGTTAAATTTAGAAGGATAACCTTGCCAGCTAACTAATAATTGTTTATTGTTACCGCGTCCTCTGCTTTTTATCACACGATCGACGATAAATTCGTCGCGTAAGTTTTTAATAACCGGTGCTAATTCTGGTTTGTAAAAAATTCCGTCTATAATTTCACTTGATAAATCGCTTAATTCATATCGCGGGTTTTCTCCATTCGAGAACTCGATGAATACGAAATATCTCCTCGCTCCACTTCGTCTCGTATCCTTTCTCGAAGTTTACTTTTGCTCTACTGACGCGTACGAGATCGTCCACGCGATATTTAGCCTTTTGTTTACGTCCACGCCTTTTTCTTTTCTTTATCGTTATCCCATCGTCGTTTCATATTTTTACACGCGGTACGAGCATTTTCTCGCGTAACGACAGCGGGTTGCATTTTGATGGTGGAATGACGAGTATAATTGTAAGCGTGAACAATATCTTGTAAAACATCAAAGTAACGACGTGTATTTTTATGCGTAAAATAACGCCACATTCGCTCCTTGAATGTTCTAATATATCGTTCCACTATAGACGCTTTAATATCGGGATTGCGCTTTACACGAAAACGGATGTTTTTTTCTTTTAAGAAATTTTGTACAGGACGAGCGATAAATTCTTTGCCTTTGACGGTCTATAAGTATACAGGTAGTCGACCCTCGTTTCTCGAAAATATTTGCTGAAAGGCCTTTATTACGCAGGCGGCTGTTTTGTCACGTAAAGGTTCTACCCAAACAAATTTACTAAGCACATCGATAACCGTTAGTAGATAAGAATAACCGTCATTATAGCTCTTGAGATTACGAAGATCGATCAAATCGGCTTCCCATAAATCATTGATATTTGTTACGTTATAATGTAAACGAAGAAATTTTCGTCGTACCGGACGATGCAACGTGTACGCATCCTGCGATTTAAGCCACTCGACGACTTTGTTACGCGTAAAATTCGATTTAACGGCTCGCGATAAATTGTCCACCGTAGAGTAGCCTGCATAATGCGAGGGGTCGAAATACAATTTTTCAAATTTCATCAATTAAGATTTATCCAATCGAGTAAATCTCTTCTTCTCTTTGACGGAGAAACTACGTTACGTGCTAATGTTCTATCGTCGTCACCGTCGTCACCTTCCTCGTTAGCGGATATAAATTGCGTATCTCTTTCGGTTTCACTCGCTTTGTCTAACCTGTCACTGTACGATTTTGAACGTGTGATCGGAGTGGAGGATCCGCGAGGTAACGCGGAAGTAATATAGCGAGATCGCGTGCCTGCTTTTAATAACTTTTGGTTTCCTATGAGACGCGGTGACGTACCTATGTCACGTAGTAATCGAGCAAACTAATTTCTTCCGGTTGCTTCTACCGTTTTTCTCTCGCGTACCGCATCGTTTATAAGTTCCGCGATATTCGAACCCTCCACAATGTCACCGTCTATAGTTACGAGCCCTTGTCTATTCCAGCTAATCTTAGATGACGTAGTATCGAGCAGATGTTTCATTAGCAAGCGTGCTTTACTACGATAACTTTTCGGAACACTATTAAGTATTTTTTGGATCATTTTTGCTGATTGAGTGCGTTTTTTCTCAAAACTAGTACTAGCGGCGCCAATGTTACCGCCCGCTAAACAATATTTTGTTGCAAAAACGTTTTTGTAACATTGCAATATAGCCGTGCGACGTTTTACGTTTTGTTGTATTAACCTTTTGGCAACGTTTCAGGAACCAGAAATGTCCCGATTCAATTACCTTACATATGCGACGTCGAACTTGCAACGCGTTTTAGACGTTTGAGAAACCTTATATGTGCGACGTCGCATTTACAACGTTTTTGCGACATTTGTAAAACTTGCATGAAACGTTAGGGAAACGTTACAAACTTTAATTCTAAAAACAACGTTTATACAACGTTCTTTATACAACGTTCCAGGAACTTATTTTCCGCTTCATGGTTAATTTGCAACGTTTTTGTAACGAATGTATAAGGCACAGTCTAAAATGAGTCATTAATTGTTGATCAGATGTGTCCTAATAATCGTTGCAAATTAACTTTATATATTCGTTACATATGTAATAATACGATCAGTGAAAAACAAAAATTATTTGCATATTAATTACATATTTATTTGTATACACATATACAACAATATTTTGATAAAATAAAAAAATTAAAACATTAATTATATTAAGATATATTATTATATATTTATATGTATTTTTAAGATATTTATTCTAATTTATAAAATAAATATTATTATATTTTAATATTGCACTATTAATGCATTTGCAGGGTCGGCTGAACGCCATATGAGTTCATGTACATTTCCTTATCCGATCTGATTTCTAAGTGCTTTTGCCTAAGACAAGAAAAAAGACACAAAATCAATTCAGCTGTATAAAAATAGTAATTCATTTAAGTAAAATGAAAAAAGTACCTGCTCTCTATCATAACGTGTTTTGGCATATTTAAGCCAGGCGGAAACATAATTTACATAATGTCTATCCGTTAACATCGGATAATGCTTTCGAGCAGCCTCTATAAAACGCAAGAAAAAATTAAAGATTAATAAATTGATTTATATAATTTTGTTTGAAGTTAGGTCAATGCAGAAAGTCTTACTTTTTATGATATCTATTAGCAGAAGTGAATTTATAGCAAAGTTTCCTTTCTGGCCTTTCCATGAACATTTCATAGCCAATTTATTGGAAAACATTTTTTCCAAGCTATGTTTTATTTGATCTTGGGGTGAGTCTCCTCCAAGCAAATAGAAAAATGTTTCCTGAAGCATATAATTATTACAATTATAACGACATACTACATTTTTCATACATAAATAATGTCGAAACATTTTTCAATCTTTTATAATTTACATGTCTAATTGAATATACGATGCAATTATATTTTAATTGTATAAATAAGTAAGTGAGGAATGTACACTACACCCGTCAATGATTCCTTCCCATTCCTCCTAGAAAATAAATAAGACGATGCTATATATAGATAAACTATAAAGAATCTATAGCGCTCTATTTCCTAGAGGAACGAATCATTGACGGATAGTGTATATATTATCACCAGTTGTTTTTTTCCATCTTCATCATTCTTCAATGAAGTGTCATACTGCAGCAATTTTCGATGCTTTTTAAATGGTTTTGTAGGGATAGTCGAAAAATTATTAAATCTTGGACCTGCTGCTGCAAATATTACTGGTTCGTCGTTTTTTTGTTTTAATTGCTCAAAAAATTCATTTTGTTGTCTTAATAGCGTTTTAATCTCTATCGTGTTCTCTAAAATCTTGATTATATTCTGGCTATCTGTAAAATTACAATTAAATATTATTACATAATTGTTATTATTGTTGCTGTTGTGTAGTTGTTTAAGTAATAAAATAACAATAAATATTAATAAATGATATTGATAACCTGATGGAAAATCTTCAAAGATTACGTTTTGTGCGAATAAGTTATTTCTTGTCGGAGTTAGAGATGCGTTTCCAGCAATATTTTGCGGACCTAAATCTGTAGAATTAAAATATATTTTATATTATAAAAATGTAACTTCGGAAAGTAAGTCTTGATATATGAAAATAGTATTTGTTATTTACCGTAGATATACTACGATCAATAAATACGTGTATGTGAATGTTAAATATATACATATATATACGTTCACATACCCTCTGTTGAGCAGGTTTCAAGATCCACAGTATTGTTTATATTATTGTTACGATTCAAAACCCCTATATCATCCGTTTGATCTATCTGATTTTCTTTATTATCGTTATTGTTTGAATCTAAATAAATACAAAATTAATAAGTACTCAAGACAAAACATTAACATTTCTATTTATAAACATTAAAAAATACTAACCTATATCACCTATATTACCATTTATTTTTTTATTGACGGTTGGAAGAATGTTGTCAATATTTGCTGGCAGATTTCTTGCAGTCTGTAGAACTTCACTTGATCGTCTACGTTCGATTGCAGGATCTGAAAAATAAATATTTAATAAAAAGATTCATCTAATCGTTGCAAAAATATTTACTTCTGTATTCACTTGTAAGACTGAATAAAGGCTATTTATGTATTACGTAAACATATTTTGAACCAACACTTAACAAAATTAGAATTATTTGATTACAAAAAATATAATATTTATATTATTTTTATTTTATATAGGAGAATTTATATTATACATTTTTACTTTCTTCCCAGCAAACACCGATATATAATTGTTACATTGCTATAATAAAACGGAATATAACACGCAATATAACGCAAATGTACTACGTTATATACACGTTAGGAGTAATTTCCTACTCATATAAATTACAGATATATAACGTTAATATAACACATAAATAACATGTTATATAACTTTAAAAAGAATTATAAAATAATTCTATAACTGCAATATAAATTACAGAATTGTTATAAAGCTACTATGTATGTGTTATAAAGCTGTTATATTTATGTAATAAGACTTTTATGTTTACTTGTTACTAAATTGTTACATATTTAATTGAGAATAAAAATTTTAATTATTACATATTTATTACAAACGCGAATACTACAAATATTAAATTCTTTAATTAATTTCAAGCAAAATTAAATAAAATTTTATTTAATTTTGCTTGAAATTAATTAAAGAATTTGATATTTGTAGTATTCGCGTTTGTAATAAATATGTAATAATTAAAATTTTTATTCTCAATTAAATATTTAATTGTTGTAACAAATATGCAATTATTACAATTTTTATTTTTATTATAAGGTGTTAATATACATAAGTAATATACATAAGTTTCTATATAAAGAACTCTTTTTTATTTATAAAATTTATATTTTTCATGACATATGACGTTTTATATTTATAAAACGAAATTTATATTTTTCATTACATAAGACGTATATATATATGTATACATATATTTATACAAGGATGTATAAATTATAATTAAACATAAACTCTTCCAGAGAATAAAAAAAATTAAAAAACTTAGCACTTTTTTATATGTATACATATATACATTAAACATAGTTATATATACGTGTTGTTGCTCAGGTACGTACAGGTACACATGTGTAAGCTTATGAAATATAGCAACATATATAAATATATTAACATTTTTGGTATTCATTATCTATCACATATATATTTTTAAAAACTTAAAGCAAAAGATAATACTTAAAAAAAAAATTTCCTTTAATTAAAGAACTGAAAATCTAATTATTTTCCTTATCTTGTTCCTGTGCTCCTCCTTTTTCTTCCCTCTGCTTTCTCTGCTTAGCGAAACGTAGCCATTCCGCCACAATATTATCAAATTCAGCTTCTGTTAAAGAAGAATACTGTAGAGTAATGTCTCCTAAAAAGAATAATATATAGTTAAACAAGAAATTTAGGATAATAGATACATTTTTAATAATATAGAAAACACACTTCTCATAATTTTGATAAAATATAAATCGCATATTTTAAAATTATTACGAACACCCTTCCATGAGCAATCCATCGCACATTGGTTCGTAAATATTTTGCAAAGGGCGCGATGAATGTTGTCTCTGGGATTATTTCCCCCAACTTTTAAGATAAATTCTTTCTGTAAAAAAAATAAATTTAAAAATTTTTATACAATTAATTAAATTATACAATTAATTAAATAAATTAATGTAAAACTTACAAATTGCGTAACTGCTTCCTCCGTGTCACGCAATAAAGTCTCAAAATCTTTTATAGTTTGAACCGAGCGTAACGGTAAAATTTCAGCAATCAAGCTGTCATTACCCTTTGTTGGAAGAAGAGCGCGGCTCTTCATAACATCTTCCAATCGGTTTACCAATTGTTTGATGTCTCTTAAGATTAAATTGGACGTAGTTTGGGTACGTGTTATTTGTCCTTGATTACGTATTATATCTTGCTGTGTACGTATCACTTGATTAAAGTACTCTGCAATGTGTACAATGTATTTCTTATTATACATAATTTTATATTACTATTTAACTAAAAGCCATTATATGCATATATATTAATACATACTTTTTATATTAGGGTCTGATACTTCATTAACTATTTCTTGCAATTCTTCATGGTTTTCATGTTTTCAGATAATGGATCACAATCTACAAAAAAGAAATATTAGATATATATATATACATGAATATAATTTTTGTTGACTTTATATACTTATGATCATCGACATATAAAATGAACTGAACATCAATAAATAACCCAGGTAACAGACTGACGTGATTAAACGTCAAAATGACGTTATTTTGACGTCGTGTGACGTTATTTTGACGTTTAATGACGTCAGTTTGTTACTTCTTATTCGATGCTCAGTCCATTCTGTATATCGATGCTCATGACAATATACATACTTTGAAATATTATGGGAATATCACAAATCTGACGTATATCCACTTCTTGTGTACAAGAAGTTTTCTTTTTCTCTGGAAATGTATACAATATGTAATAAAAATCAAAATATCAAAGATTATAATATCACATACTATACGTACCACAAGGTTGTGATAATGGAATCTTTTTTACTGAATCAATCACAGTTTTGATGCTTTCAATTTCATTGTTGGTGAAATTATTCAAGGTTAAATTGTCCGGACACAGTGGGAAAGCAGATGTAATTTTATTCATACTGCTTGCTTTTTCTTTCTCTGTAAATATTTAAAAAAAATTTTCTTATATAGCCCTTTAAAAATGAAGATTATCAAATATAATAAAACATGCTGTTTTAATACGTACTCTTAATTTTAGCAATTGGTCGATGTACATAATCGTCGTTTTCTTCTTCTTCACTGCTATATCGATTGTACAAAGTATGCTGTCTTTTGCCACGTCCCAATTTGTCTTCGTCGGTTGTTTGGTAGTTGGAGTCAGCTGCACTTTTTCTTGCAGATTCCAAAGATCCTATAATAAAAAAATAGATATATTAAATTGCGCATTAATGATAATAATAATAATATAATACTAATAATAATCACAATAAAAACATTACAATAAATATGTTCTGCGCAAACTTAAATGACTCTTAATAGTGTAATATAATATAATCATAACACACAAAAGATAAAAATGCATAAGTACTTACTACAATGTTTTATGAGTTCAATATTATATTGATCCCAAGTTTCAAAATTCGGACTTGCATAGTTTGCGATTAGAGGTGCAGCATTTGCTGTCCGTGGCCACCAGCACTTCTGTTGTTGATTGTCATCTAGTATAAGCCACGCTGTTGGTATTTCTGAGTATGAATTATCTATAACAAACTTGACAACGGAATATCTTTTTCCTATAGTACCACCAGAATCCATTTTTCTCTAAACAAAAAAACAGTATATAAATTAATTTCTTCACAAATAAAAATATGTATATACATCCAATCACATTAGTAATATCTTATTGACAAAATTATTGATCAAAATAATTGATTGCTTTAATGCAAAATTTTAAAAATCACATTTGATATCATATGTAATATAAAAGTTTTTTTGCTTTAATGCAAAAGTTTTTTTGCATTAATAAATACAAAAATAAGACAAATTTGTGTTATAAAATAATTCTTTTATAAGTTAAAATTTTATACAATATTAATATATGTATACATATATTATTTCATCAATGTAATAAATAGATTTTACAAGAATATTTTTTACTCAAACTATGCAATAATATAAATATTTTGTAAGAAAAATATACGTTTATATTTAATTTTAATAAAATTATATTGCTTATGTATACGTTTTTATGCCATATTACTGATATAATTATATTATTGAAATACAATCCTCAAATGCATTTATATTAATTTTGTTAATAATAAATAATTAATAATACATAAAGAATACTTGTTACATCTACATATATTTAAGATAAAATTAAAGATATAAAAATTATTACTAGCCTAGTAAAAATTAAAATCAATTAATTTTAATTCACATCGTCTCTTGCAATTATATATATATGATATAAATTATATTTTTTAATAGTTCATAGTTTTAATCAATCAAAATTATAATTTTATGCATAAGATTTATGTACATAAAATATTGCAAAATTAAAAAATTAAAATTAATTAATGAAAGGCTCGTATAATTAAACAAAATTAAACAATCATATATAGTAGGCCAACTAAACGAGCAAATAAATAAGATGTAAAAAATTTTTTTATTAATAGTTAAATCATTAAATTAACATTCCGTTACAGAATCGATATAAATTGTAAACGTTTCGACTGCACTACAGTCTTTATCAATACATAAAAATTAAATATTAAAATATAAAGTTAGATGTTAAAAATACAAAGTTAGTTAAATATTAAAATATAAAATTGAAACGATTCTTCGCTGTTGACCAATAGATATGCAAGGCGATTGGTCTGAGATGCCAAGTTATGCGACATTTGAGCATGCTACGGATATAATACGCGAATTAAATCAATGTCAGAAAAAATTAAAAAATCTTTCAACTTACATTATCGTTTTAACAAGTCCTTTTCCCCGATATTTCAAGTGTGTGTTGCGAAGTCTGAATACCAAATGTCAAAATAGAGAGCGTGATGTATTTATTTATTACCAATGTTTTTTCTAAATTATGATTCAGCAAATTTTTTAAGTATGTCAAAATAACTACTGTCTAACAATTCGGTGTCTGTATTTAAATTAATTCCATTTTTCTGTTCTTTAATGTGGATCATTTCAGATATTAGTCTTTTTTGGTAATTCTTTTCATGATCCATAATTTTAATATTGTCCCAGTCAAATGTATGTTGTTCGTTTAGAATGTGTTCCGTGATAACCGAATGTCTAGCAGAGTCTAATTTAATATTATTTTTATGTTCTTTAAGTCTCGTTCCTAACTGTCTTTTTGTCTGTCCGACATATGTGGCGTCACAATCGTTGCAATTCAATTTGTAAATAACGTTAGAATTCGTGGGGCAATTATTTTTGTCCTTTTGAACTCTTATGAAGTCATT